GTGGAATTGATTTACAACTCATTCCGACAAAAACTCTCACTCGTCATTAGTATGGTTCTTGTGGCACAGGATCACCTGGTCACTTGAATCTATCTTTTGAAATTCGAGGTAGCCTTCGTATTCTCTAGTGGGATAGGGTAACCTGGCCACTGGTTGAATGTCGATAGTACAAGTTTTTGAAGAGGATAAAAATAGACCTTTAAGTCTATTGTATGATGTTTCAAAAGAACTATTCACTTTATAAATTTTTTGGAATTATGCTCACTACAACAAATATATATTGAATATTTATTTCTAACCAAACAAGTGGATTAGATACTTATATTTGATTGAGGATGTAATGGTTTATCCTTATTTAAAAGGTATAAAGTTATAGAGCTTATGTTATACAATAAGTTTAACCATTCAAGTATCTGCTAACTGCATTTATGTAGAATATCCTAAATGATTGTTTAGGATGAAGTTTCTACTAATCCTACTAATTGTCATTCCATAAGACAAGTGATTAGAAAGTGATTTTTCTAAGTGGGAGCAATATGGAACTTTAAGAGCTTAAGAACCATAAACTAAATGTTTCATAGTTTGGAACTAGAAGGTTTTGAACTGTTGTTGAATCAGCTCAATAGCTGATAAGAAACTAATAAAACACATAGAGATGACTTCATGTATGATTATCAATTATGGGCTTGATTAATCTACCTCGGTATAGTTTGACTATAAAGAGTAAGTGAGTTTTCAAGGGAGAAAACATGCATGATTGAAAATCTTCTCAGATTTAAGCTAACATCTCAAAGTAAGAACCTTCTTTCTTGTAAGATAATTACATAGTGTGAATTGATTATAAATCAAGATGACTCTTGTGTTTTTCTACAAAGCTAGTGGGAGCACAGTAATATACCTAATGTTATATGTAGTCGACATATTAATTCATGGAATAAGGATCTATATAGATAGATCATGGCAACTTAAAGGATTAAGTAAAATTGCATTAATTGTCAAGGATCTTAAAGAGCTTAAGATAAAAGACTCTGAGCGAGTCATCTTGTCAAATACTACATGCATGATTTTGATCTATCCTCAAAATCCTAGTATAATGTTTTGAATTAGATAAAATGATTGTATTCCATATGTTGATGCAATCGGATTAATCATATGTGTCATGATTATGCATAAAGGCCAAATAAATCGTATGCTTAAAGCATGTCGAATGATACCAGTATAATCCGAGAACAAGTCATTGTGTGACTTATAGGAATATTGTAAAGTACTTGCGAGAACTAGAGAAATATTCCTAAACTACGGAGTATTTGAAAGAAAGCTATGTTTAACGTTGTTACACATGTGCTAAATTCTCAAATAGATTGAGATGACTCTCAGTCACAATCGGGCGTGTCCTCATTATGAATGAAGAGATAGTTACATGAATATTGGTTCCATGTAGATTTCATTTACAATTACACATCAGAGTTAGAGTAACTCGTGTTTTGGAGAACCACGTACAAAGATGCTTAATGTATAGTTCATTATGACTATGAGTAATCCCATTACGCAAGTATTGGTATCTAAGTCATATTCAAGCATCTAATTCATTCTCAATAGTTTTTCTTTATATATGAGTTATATATAAAACTGAAAATGATTTTATTCGTAAAGTTTACACAAATCAAGTTTGTCAAATCTATTTAACAAAGCTGCTTCATTAGCTAAAGCATGAAATTCAAGCAGGTTCTATAGGGCATTGTTAATACAAGTAGATGTATTTGATTGAAATTTAGTATTTTGATTGGAACAGTACAAGCAACATATATTGTAATGAATGGTATATTGGATATGAGTCTTCCATTAAATAATTGTTGTGTTCTATATTAGCGTGTTTAAATCCTTGAATAACTACGTTATTCTAAATGTCTATAGTCGTTCATAGTTGTGGGAGCATCTATGAAGTAAGACTAATATGAGTTGATTGGTGGATTCTCATGGAGATGAGAATGGAAAAGAGTTGCTACCAACTTTATAGATACTTGATTGGGAGAATAAGTATTGGACTTGACCCGCATCAAAACTACTTTATGGATCATAGTCAAGAGTGTTGTTTTGATCAAGGTTGAATCTTTTTAATCTTAGACTTGAGATACATATTTGGGACTTGAAGTGTAGGAATTGTTGTGCTTAGACATGGTTTAACGTTGTTTCATAAAAAGCAGTCATAAGGTCCATCGTTGGGTATGCCATGAACTGCATTGATGGGCGTATGTAGTCAAGATGATCTTTGTATTCTTAGACCTGAGATGCATATTTGGGACTTGAAGTGTAGGAATTGTTGTGCTTTGACATGGTTTAACGTTGTTTCATAAAAGGCAGTCATAAGGGCCATCGTTGGGTATGAGATGAACTACATTGATAGGCGTATGTAGTCCAGATGGGATTTGTACCTCTTCTTTGTTGAGAGCATGACATATAAGGCCTTAGTTAAAGTTGAACAGTAAATGAGATTGATCGCGATCCATATCTCATGTTCGACATGATGTCTGAGACAAAGGAATAACTGATACCACACCTTTAGTAACAATTGCAGCTTAGAGCTCCTGGAACTGGCTGTTGACGAGATGGCCCCCTTCATATGTTGTTAGGGGCAGTAGCCCGTTGCTAGACGTCAGCTACTGTCTATGTCAGTCTATAATGAATCTTGTGTAAGTGGGAGATTGTTGGATCTATATGCCCAAGAATCATTATGGAGTGATATTGCTAATAATATATGATCCTATAAGGTCATACCTTTATCAAGTTGGCACATTTTGTATATTTATTATTAATGTGATTATTATTGAATAATATCAGTTATTGTATTTTAATTAGGGAATAATTAATGTTTTGTGAAAATAATAATTATAAGAGAGTATTACTAGTTATTATTTCATATGGTATGAATTAATAAGTAATGCAGAACATTTTGGACTAGTTGGATTCTTTTGTGTTTTACCTAAAGACAAAGTTTATATTTTATAAACTTGGAGTTTATAAAAAATAAAGAATCTTTCTAATAAAAGGAGAATGGGCCAAAAAATGATGATGGTATGGGAGGTTCCTTGTCAACCTTGCACTTTTTTGTCTCCCATGCTTTTATAGGCTACCATTACTTTAGATTATTTTAATGGTTAGGCCTTACCTCTAATGGACTATATAAGAGTGTCTTATGTATGTGAAATGTGCAAGTTTTTTGTCTTCTTTCTTCCCTTCTTCTTCTCTGTAAAATTGTGAGTATGAAGAAGCTCCAAACCTTTGAAGTTTGGTGCTTTACTTTGGTGTTTAGAAGACCTATTGATTTGTTCCCTTTAGTGCTTAATTGAGTTAACCACTTAAAGGCTTTAGACACTCAAGAATACAAGAAGGAACCAGCATTTCAAGTGCCTTACTCTTGATGGTGGATACTTGTAAAGAAGATCATCCACTTTGATCTTTTGTTATGTTCATCAACACCCCAAAACCAAGTGGGTTCAAAGGCTTCAAAGGTTATCACTAAAACATCCTATGGTTGGTTTTATTTCATTCTAACCTCTATAAATGGATCCATGATGGTTTTGTTTTGTTATGAACTAAAAATAAACTTGTTATTTGTAAAGTATTCCGTTGCTGATTTTTGTGAAAAAAAATATTTTATTTCGTATCAAAACCCAACACCTTTTTCCCCTGGTAGATGATCGAGAACACACCAATGGAAAAGTCTCGTGTTTTCTTCCATGAAACTGGACTGATGGCCGGACGAAAACTCCAATGCATGATCCTTAAGCTCTAGTTTGAACAAGCTGCCACGCACGTATACCATGAAGGGTCCCATGTTGAAGAACATAAGAAAATCTACCCGTGTTTCAGACCCATATGATACATACTAGATCAAGTCGATGACCTTTACCCCAAATGATCCATATCCACAACCTAAACTCGTACTGTTGGATCCTGGATGATCATCAGGAACACACGAAAGGAAGAGTATTGTGTCTTGTGCCACGAAACTGGAGTGATGGCTGGCTGGAACGTCCAATGCACGATCCATAACCTCCAGTTCTAACATGCAGCCCCGCACCTATATCATACAGGGTCACATGTTGAAGAACATAAGAAACTCAAGTCGTATCTCAGACCCTATTTGATACATACTAGATCAATCTGATAACTCCTACCCCAAATTATCCATATCCATGACCCACACTCCAACTACCTGTACATACTAGATCAAGCTGATGAACCTAACCCAAACGATGCATATCCACGACTAACACTCGTACCACCCACACTTTTATCGTGGTCTCCTAGATGATGATCGAGAACGCACCAAAGGAGGAATCTCTTGTCTCGTTCAATGACATTGGATTGATGGTCTTCCGGAACCCCCAATACATGATCAATAACCTCGAATTTGAAGATACAACCCTGCACCCATACTGTGTAGGGTCCCATGTCAAAGAACATAAGAAAATCAAGCTATCTCTAAAAAACATATGATATAAACTAGATCGAGATAATGACCCCTACCCCGAATGATCAATATCCTCGGCCCACACTCGTAACACCAACACTCATACAATGATCCCATGGATGATGATCGAGAACACATGAAAGGAAAAGTCTCGTGTCTCGTTCCGTGACACTAGAGTAATGGACGGCTAGAACCCCCAATGCGCGCTCCTTAACCTCTAGTTTGAACATGCAGCCCCACACCCATACCTTACATGGTCCCATATCCAAGAACATAAGAAAAATCACGTTGTATCTCGTACCCCATATGATACATATTAGATAGAGTTGATGACCCATAACCCAAATGATCTATATCCACAACCCACACTCGTACCATCCGTACTCATATTGTGGTCCCCTGGAGGATGATCGAGAACACACCATAGGGAAAACCTCGTGTCTCATTCCATGAAACTAAAGTGATGGTTGGCCAAAACTCCCAATGCATGATCCATAACATCAAGTGTGAACATGCAACCCCGCACCTAAACCATGTTGGGTCCCATTTCAAAGAACATAAGAAAATCAAATCGTGTCTCGAACCCATACGATACATAGTAGATCGAGTTGGTGACCCCTATGCCAAATGATCTATATCCACGACCTACACTTGTACCACCCACACTCGTAATGTGGTCACCTGGATGTTGATCAAGAACACATGAAAGGAAAAGTCTCATGTTTTGTTTCATGACATTGGAGTGATGGTCGTCTAGAATCCTCAATGCATGATCTATAACCTTGAGTTTGAATCTGCAGCCCTGTACCCATACCATACAGGGTCCTATGTCAAAGAACATAAGAAAATCAACTCTGGCCACATACACATATGATACATACTAGAGCGAGCTATTAAACCCTACCCGAAATGATCCATATCCACGACCCACACTTGTATTATGGTGCCCTGGCTGATGAGCAAGAACATGCCAATGGAAAAGTCTCATGTCTCTTTCCATGACACTAGACTGATGGTCGGCCGAAACCTGCAATGAATGATCCATAACCTCGAGTTTGAACACGTTGCCCCATACCCATACCATGAAGGGTCCCATGTCGAAGAACATAAGAAAATCAAGTTGTGTCTTGGATGCATATGATACGTACTAGATCAGGATGATGAACCCTACCCCAGATGATCCATATCCACAACCCAAACTCATATCGTGGTCCCATGGCTGATGATCAAGCACACACCACAACAAAAGTGTCGTGTCTCGTTCCATGACACCGGAGTGACAGTTGGTCGGAACCCCCAGTGCATGATCGATAACCTCGAGTTTGAACATGTAGCCCCGTACCTATACCATCCAGGGTCCCATGTCAAAGAACATAAGAAAATCAAGCCGTGTCTGGGACCTATATGATGATCGAGATGTTGACCCCTACCCCAAATGATCCATATCCACGAGCCACACTCGTACCCCCACACGCATACCTTGGTTAACTATCTGATGATTGAGAACACAAGAAAGGAAAAGCCTCGTGTCTCGTTCCATGACACTAGATAGATGGCCAACCGGAACCCCCTATGCATGATCCCCAAACCTCGAGTTTGAACAGGCAGCCCCGCACCCATACCATGTAAGGTCGGATGTCAAAGAACATAAGAAAACCAAGTCGTGTCTCGGATGCATATGATACATATTAGATTTATTTATGACCCCTACCCCAAATGATCCATATCAAAGACCTTCACTCGTACCACCCACACTCGTACCATGGTCCCTGGATGATGATCTAGAACATACGATAGGAAAAGTCTCGTATCTCGTTCCATGACAATAGAGTAATGACATGCTGGAACCCACAATGAGTGATCCATAACCTCAAGTTTGATCACACAACCCTGCACCCATACCATGCAGGGTCCCATGTCGAAGAACATTAGAAAATCAAGCCTTGTATCGGACCCATATGATACATGCTAGATCGAGGTGATGACCCCTAACCCAAATGATCAATATCCACGACCCACACTCGTATCATTCGCACTCGTACCATGGTACCCTGCTTGATGATCGAGAACACGCAAAAGGAAAAGTATAGTGTGTCATTCCATAACAATGGAGTGATGGTCGTCCGGAACCCCCAATGTGTTTTTGTAGAAAATTGATCAAATGTAGTTCAACCAAATTGTTTGAGAGGCTACGATGTTAGAATAATTTAAATATAGAGCAATGATCAAAGTGAGACGAGTGAGTTACAAGGAAAGCCCTCGATCTTTTGTAGGATCTCCGAAATAAAATCTTGGCAGGTGATAATGATTACATGAATTTTTCTTTTTATTGATTTTAATATGAGATTACAAGGATGATGATGATAATATGAGTACTAGTGTAATAATAGAGCTAATCTTGTCTGATGTGCGCAATTTACAGGTGTTATTTATAGTCTAAGCTGAATAACAAGAAGTACGATATTGTCGCGATCCTCCTTGAACAAGTATTTTCATGTTGTTTGACTTGGTATTCTCAGGTCTTCATCTTGGTTGAAGTGATTCCCCATTGAGAATAAGTCTTGTTTTGACTAATTCTTCACATGTGAGAACATAAGTTCAAGGATCCTGAGACTTTAGGGATATTAAGGATCCTGAATATAATTCTGGGATCCTACCCCTAACACAATGCGTGATCCATAACCTCGAGTTTGAACACATAACCCCGCTTGCATACCATGCAGGGTCCCATGTCGAAGAACAAAAGAAAATCATGTCGTGTCTCGGACTAATATGATAAATACTAGATCGATCTGATGACCCTTACCCCAAATGATCCATATCCACGACCCACACTCATACCACCCGCACTCGTACCTTGGTCCCATGGCTGATGATCTAGAACACATGAAAGGAAAACTATTGTGTCTTGTTCCATGAAATTTCAGTGATGGTCGGCCGAAACCCATAATGCATGATCCATAACCTCCAGTTTGAACATGCGGCCCCGCACCCATACCATGTAGGGCCCTATGTCGAAGAACATAAGAAAATCAAATTGTTTATGGGATCCATATGATACATAATAGATAAAGTTTATGAACCCTACCGCAAATGATCCATATCCATGACCCACACTCGTACCATCCACACTCGTACCGTGGTCCCGTGGCTGGTGATCGAGAACACACGAAAGGAGAAGTATCGTGTCTTGTTCCATGAAACTGGAGTGATGGCCGATGTGAACCCCCAATGCATAGTCCATGACTTCAACTCTGAAAACGTTGCCCCACACCCATACCATTCATGGTCCCATATCAAGGAACATAAGAAAATAAAGTCGTGTCTCGGACCCATGCCACCACGGTGATGACCGACGCCCCTACAATACAACATCAATCCCTATCTCTGACCAATATTCATCCCCCACACCATGGTTCCTAGGGTGAGAGCGTAGTTAAGGAGATCCGTGTCTCGTTCCTTTTATCGTGAGTATTTTTCTCATTTTCTTATTTATCACTTTATTATACATATAATCTTGCAAAAATTAATTTTTTTTTATCTATCAAACCGTCTAAAAAAACTCCAATGTCGTTATAAAAATGCTAAAATGGTATAAGTTTTCAAACCAACAACCAGTATAAACTTTCCATCAAAAATATATTTTTAGTTTACTAATTAACAAATTCTTTTTTATATATTTTTTAATTTTAATTTATATGTTTATTATTGATATTATTATTTTAAATTTTAAGAGGAAAAACCAAATTAATAAGAGGGAAATATTAATTCCTTTGTATGAAATTCAATCCTTAATTTTAGTTCCCTCCAAATCCCAAAATAAAATGGATTCAAATTATCCCAAAATTTCAATTCCCCCCATATATATACCCCATGTTGAAAAATTCATTTTACATTAGTGATAAAGTCTCTAAACAATTCATCGTTTCAATATCATCGTCATTTTTTTGGTTTCCATAAGTTTTTTTTGATATCCAACTCATATTTCTATACTAATGGTTGCCGTCGACGATGAAATGCAATTCGATAACCATGGAAACGAAAATGAGATTTGTAGAGATAATGACCCAGAAACAAGCGAAGATGCTTCATCGTCCGGCTTTGAAAAGTACCGATGAAATTATTGTCGAGAATGATGAAGGTTGGTAAATATATATAGTGAATCACGTCTTCTAAATCTAGTATTTATTAGTTACATGCGTTGTTTGATTTGTTTAAAAAAATGCATCAACAAGGGCTCGCAGAGGGAAAACTAGTTTACCAAAAGTTAATAATGACTTAGATAGATTTAGAGGCAAAAAATGTAAAACAGTTCATTTTGATGAAATGCGTAAAATTTCTGGTGAGAATGCACTTATGCTTTTAAGCTTTTTGGGTGAGCTCGTTCAGAGATATGTGGGAATAAAGTACACAAAGTCGAAGAACGTCACACATGTTGTATATGGAAAGTATGTTAAGAAATAAAGGTAGACATGAGAAAAGCTGCTCGAGCAAAGTGCCATTACCCACATAACATGGAGCGTGGGGGTATGCTAAATGAAAGAAAACTTAGTAAGTCGATTGATCGATATTTCAATTGTTGAACATGTATTTATTAATTTCTTGTTTTGTTAATATGGTGTGTATATATATATATATATATATATATATATATATATATATACTTGCAAATTGTTTGATTTCCACTTCATCCGTTGATCATTTTTTTAACAGGCGAAATATATAGTGATTGGTGTGGATGAAGTTCCCCAGCGGTCTTTAATGTAGAGGAAAGGATGGGAAAATAAATAGGGAAAATATTGTCGAGAAGAAGTAAAGCTTGTTGCAGAAGAGTTTGTATATAGTGTAAAACTAGCAGCTTCTATCTGCTTTTTGTGTTTGTTAATGTTAATTGATAAAGAATACAACTAATACTATATTTATCTGACATACAATTTTTTCCTGATCAGTCAGGAAACTGCAATTGAAGAAGGAAAAACCATTCATGAACCAGCTACACATGCCCTATCACTGGTCTTTGCCAAAGAACATGGCATATTCGTAAGAGGGGTTGGCACGAGAGTCACTCCAACCAGATATTGGCATACGCCTCATGCCAGATCCTCATCAAAAGAAAAAATAACATTCCTTTAGCAAAGCCTAGAGGAACAAAAAAGAACAAATTAGGATCTGAGGTCGAAAGTTAACCATCTGATGAGTTTGGTTCCTCTTATGGGAAATCACAATATTGTGGAGTCTCCAATAACTACTACTCCAGCTCAAAAAACGTCTCTTATAGAAAAAGTAAGTAATTAAGTGAATTTTTTTATTATTGTTTGTTAACAATGGACTGCTAGTTAATGCTTTCGTCGCATATTGTCCTCCCAGAAAAGGTTAAAAAAATCGGTGGATACATCAGCATCGCAAACACCACCCAAAAAGCATCAAATTAATATAAGTTTATAAATAATAATAAGTTTTGACACTATAATTTCCAATATTTTCAACTGTTTTACATAGAATAAGAATGGAACACTCTTTTCAGGAAAGTTTAAGTAACGGTGAAGAAAATGTTGCAACTATGTGTGATGAGCCACAGGAAAGTGTGATAGCAGCACCTCAACCCAAGACACTCCTACAATCGACAAAAGTACGTCTATCCGACATGTACATAGGTATACATGTGTAAGTTAAAATTATACTTATAAATTGATTAATATGTGTATCTATATCTTTGTAGAAAATAAAATGTTCACTGTGAGTATGTGAATGGTGCAACGTCGTTACGAAGGGTTATGTATAGTATTCTACCGATGAAAACTAGACAATACATGGAAAGCCACTAACGAATGAATACAATAAAGTTTTTGTGGATGAAGTAATAAAACCACCTGCCTGCGTACCAAACGAACACAAACCCCCGTTAACGGCAAATGATGTTCTATATTCTTTTGTGACTTGGGAAAAAATCTTGTAACCCTTGATCCTAAGGTACTTTTTTTGCGTAAGTCATTAATATTTATATTTAGTAATTAAAGCTTATCTTTTTTGAATAACTCTATTAATTAATAAACTACATTGTGCAAGTTTGTTTCAATACTCGTTTAACATTTATTT